CCCTGAGCCACGTGTTGATCAGGTGTGCTTTTCCTTCAGTGACTCCTTCAGTTGTGTCTTACTTTCAGGAAGTGGGCTGTGGTCTCAACCTTGCCTGTGCAGGAGGACTGCCAGGGACACTAAGTGATCTCTTGGTTGCAGCAGGGTTCCACACAGAACCAGCAGCCCTCGATCAAGCACAGTGCCTGAGCAGGACCTGCATTACCTCAGTCAGTGGCCCTCAAAAGGTTACTTTCCTCTGTATAAACATGTATTTTTTAAACTTCTTTGTACCAAAGAAGCAGCCAGAAGCTACAAATAGAGTGGAAGACCATGCAAATATTTAGCCATCTCATAGTCATAGCAAAAAAAAAAAAAATCCAACAAGAGCTAAATTGCCTAATCCATGGAAAACAGAAGCTTCTTATTCCAGTGTAGTTGCTGAGGAGATTAACTGCTCCTCATGCCTTCCCTTCAGCACCCACTAGAACAATATCCAGGCAAATTATAGTAGCTTGCAAAAGAGGCAAAACTGTTGTTTTTCAAATCACATGAGGATGCCATATAGGTTTCTAAAATAACAACCAGTAGAAGAGACATTTAAGGTCCACTCCATGTGGTGTTAGAACAGTTAAAAATTGTATGTATTTCACAACAAAGACTGCATCTCCCTGCATCTTTGACAGGGTATGCTAGCTGGATGATCTAGCATCTTTTCATTACAAGCAAATCTCTGATGAATCATGAAGCATCAGAGCTCATTGAAGCACATCTGTGTTCTCAAGAAATTTGTAGTCAGTGTTTGTATTGCATAGCTCTTTGTCAGGAGTGAACAAAGTATGCATTGGTACTTTCACCTCGGTGAGAGATCTGGTCATCAGTGACCATAGCAGTAACCCTATGCACTGAGACATTTTCACTCAACTTTCAAAGTAGTGGCTTTCCTCATGCCTAAATAAAGCCTTGGTGTATAATCCACAGTGTGAAGTGCTGCTGTTGTGAATAAGACTGAGGAATTTATACTCATGAAGAGGAGGAAATTCAGATAAGCTGTAAGAACTCAAATGAGGATGAGCTGTTACAATGAAAGAACAAACAACATTGATAGTGTCTTTTCATTAATGAAACAGCATAAACAAGCAATAACAAAAGGACAGGGAAAGGCTGTTCAAACACCATAGAGAACCTGGAGCATTCAGACTGCAGGTTCACATGAGGATCTGTCTCCTGAGCTTTCCATCGAGATGATCTGCAATAGCCTCACAGGACAGGAGACCTCTCTGGACCCCATATCAGCCCTACCTGCCGTGCTGAGATAACCTGTTTTGCAGTGCCTGCTCTCTCGTAGCATGCAAGGAGCTGCATAATTTTACACATTTGCCCTACAGCACAGAACTGACAGTACAGTTTCCAATAAAGGTATGGCTACCTTTAGCTACAATACCTACCTGCTTCATCCTCAGCAAATGAGATGATGAATTTGCTATAAGAACTGATCATTCCAGGGAAAGCACAAGCTTTTGTGCTACCAATGCAGATATCTTGCTTCTTCCACTTATTTGTCTTCTCCTCTTCCTGTAAAGCCATAAGTCGACTAGATGAAAAATAAAACCCTGTGTTTTATGTTTCCATTATCAAGGTTAGTTCCTGTCAAAATCATGCATTACTGAAAAAAAGTCAGTGAGGATCCTGGCTGTTGACTGGCTTTAACTTTTGTCTTTCGGAAAAATAGACCTGAACAAAAGCAAACCTATCCTAAGGACTCTAAACCGGAGGAAGTTTAGATTCCAACCAAAATGTTGTTACAATGGTCAAACAGAGCCCTTAGGTCTAATATACAGGCATTTAGGATTCTCATTTACTCCAGCTCAGAAGGTTTCAGGATGCTCTGATATGCTTATTTGCCCAAATAAGGTAAATATGGGTACAGAATGGGAGCTGCAGAGATAACAATTAATCTTACCCGTTCATGAAATCACCAAAAATATAGAGGCCATTCAAGTTGGGCGATTCACATCCTCTGTATACATAACCTCCAGTGACTGACTTCCCCACGTTGCGGCCGTATGCAAATATTGGAAGAATGTCATCTGTGAAATACAGAAGCATGAGAAGTGGAAAATTTACATCCAGAGAGGATCAAAAAGCTATTGCTCAATGACACCGATGGGCACAAAAATGACTAGAAGGACCAGTACAGTTGAACAAACAGCATAGTTACATTTCGATGGGAATTCAGTAATTTCCAGACAGAACAGACCCAGAGGCTTTAAGGAGCTCTCTGTGCTTATCAAGGCTTAGCTGTGATCAGCTTCCATAACACATAGGACCAAGATTCTCTGCATCAAGCAAGTAATGCAGAAAGGTATCAGCCTGCAGGAAGTGTTATCTTACAGGTTTGCGATTGTACCAATCATTTTAGCAGGGATTGTCTTTACAAATTCCAGTATTTTTAGAGAAGGGAATAAGATCAAACAATTGCAAGCTAACTCAACATCTTGATATGTTTGCCAACGTTCTCAGCACAGAACATGCATAAGTGTGCTACCTTCATTTTATGTGACATAAAAGCTTTGCCTCTGGCACTTTTAAAATTGAATTCTGCCCTTTCTTGGGTTGAATATCAGATCCCACAAAATTTTAGTCTTGTCCTTACTTTTTTCCCCCCTGGATCGAGTGCCTTGTCTTTAATCTTTCATGACTTTAAAGATTACAAATGCAATTCATTAAAAAAGTGTAGATTAACAGCAAAATTTAATTCAGTTTAGTTGTCGATGGAGGATTGGGCCATTGAAGAAACCCATCCAAGCAAAAAAACTTGAGCCATGTGGGTACCAGCATAGCAGAGGACAAATGTTGATAACACATACTTTACACTTGCCTGCTCATACAAATGTTTCAGAAACATCTGCATGAGCTTGAGACCAGGTGTTTTCTTCCAACAGCTTAAGGAAGATCATAATAATACCCAGTTCTTCTACCATCCTTTCCAAAAGAGACCACCGGTATCTACTCTTTTTTTAAAGGCAGCATGTGAGTTTGTCCATCACACCCACCGTGAGACCCAGAGCACAGCTTTTGGGTGTTCTGCTGCAGCACCCTACTTGCTAACACACACCGCCTCATCCACAGAATTTCTTTCAGGGTCTCAACATCAGCCTCGTCCGCTCTCTTAGCCATAGCCATGGCTCAGAGCTTCTGAAAACACAGTATTGCTTTTCTACTTAAACCCAATCCATTGCCTTCCTAACTTCACTGGGAAAATTCTGTCTGCAAAAGGCACAGGCTTTGACCCTAAAAACCTTGTCCATTACAATGTATGACAGAGAATTCCCTGAATAAGCAGGGCATCATTTCATACCAACACTGCAGGGCTGGGGAGAAGGAATATTCTGCTCTTAAGTAGTAAACAATCTCCATTTAACCTACAATGCTGGATTATTTAGCTTCACTGTAAAAATGGAGCTATAGTGCAGTAAATACACATGTATAATAAAGTAACCTCCTGTAAGAGACTTCTTCCTTACCCAAAGAGGAATTGTGGCAAAGCTTTGTGTCATAGCATTCAAGTCCCTCCTTTGCTCTCCAGCCATAGTTCCCTCCTTTAACAATGATGTCGATTTCTTCAAATCTGTTCTGCCCGACATCCCCACAGAACATCCTCCCTCTTCCCTTTTTCGTGACAGGGTCCCCTCTGTCAACCGCACAGCGCCACATATTCCTGACCCCATAAGCATAAACCTCAGGGCAGGCCTTGGGATCAGACACAAATGGATTATCAGAAGGGATGCGATAAGGCTTTCCATCAGGGCTTTTTCCATCCACATCAATCCTCAAGACTTTCCCCAACAAAGCACTCCTAAAGAGAATGACAGAAAAAAAGACAAATCCTAGCATGAGAGCCAACTGAAAATGAACAATTCTCTCCCTCCTCCCCCTTTCCAAAGGAGGAGTTATCTGTCCCAAAGAGATAAAACAGCTGGTATGTCTTGCAACCTTTAAGTCACAGAATACTCTTCCCCTTCTTAGCAAGTTGGGTTCCCTCAGCTTTGAAAACGTAAAATTAGAATTTTTGAAAAACTGTGCTGGACAGACTTGCAGATGGACAAGCACTTTTGGGAAGCACACTTACTTTATTCTTCCACATTGTCTCATTTCCAAACCCTGTGTCTTGGTGGACAAGCTCAAGGCTTTCAACTGCCCTCCTACTTACTTGTTCTGAGCATTCCCAAATTTTCCAAAAGGGTCTCCAGCTTTTCCTCCATCCCCTGTGAATAGATACATATAGCCATCCACACCAAAGAGCAGCTGCCCACCGTTATGATTTGCAGCCGGTTCTTCAAGCTCCAAAAGATTCCTAAAAAGGAGAAATAACTCCAGATGTAGCTACTGGAAAAGACTGAGCATTCAGGTAGGCTGCAGAAATATTGCATCACTTTACAGAAGAAAGCAAGATTTCCCAGCTGTACAGACCTGTCAGCTTTGTCAAATACAGCGCTGAGTCGCATCCTGTTTCCCCGTGAGCCTGCAGCGTAAGGCTGTCCGCCTGCCTTACAGCAGAGCTCCCTTCAGCATGGCATCCCTTGGGGAAACGTTTCCCACCAGCCATGCAAGACTACGGCTGCCCCGTGCACTCACAGCTCTGACCTGCACTGCATTAACGCCTCTTGTGCTACAACACTCACCCACCATCATGAGCGCAGGAGTCACAGCTTATCTGAAAACATGACTACAAATACATCAAGTGATTGTCTGTGGGGAACACTTGTTGCCCTTTAAACTTTGATTGCGACAGGCAGGTCCCGCTTTCTTACATGAGAAGCGGATGGTGAATTTGAGGGCTTCAGAAGCATCTTATGGTGATTGTGAAACTCTAGAGAAAGTAAGTCCACTATTAACAAATTCTTCTCCATGACTGACAATTAGCTTTTTTTTCTAGTGGGGGACGGGGCAGGGGCACATGTGTCAGATCAAATGAATGTGTAGTACTATGGTGAAGCATCCATGTTCTCATACAGTACAAAACACTTTTAGGGCAGATGTTAATTCCACAATAGGCTTAAGGCTATTATTGCTCTTTAGAAGGCAAGAATACAAGATAGAGAAGATGACATGGAAGCCTAGATCCTGGGTCCACTTTTCAGTTTCATTTCTAGTTTGCTGTGTGTCCTTGAGCCACAGTGGTAGCTTCATAGTAGGCCAGTCACACACCTGGACCAGGGTGACTGGGAACATGCAGGTTCTGCAAGGGGGAAGGACAGGGACAAAGAAAAATAATTTCTCATTGTAGCACAAAATAGCATTCAACATGAACTTTACCTTTCTGAGAGTGGATCAGCTTTATTGACATCAGATGCTAAAACCTTCAGTTCACTGATCCTGATCTTTTCCACTCGGTTCTTATCCATGTATGAGTAATAGATATAAAACTTCCCATTGTACTTGTACTTGGGGTGGAAAGCCATCCCCAGAAAGCCCCGCTCATCCCCTATCCATGGTGTAGCCAGCACTATACTTTTAATATCCAGAAAGGGCTCCTCCAGCCGGCTGCCATCAGGTAGGTAGACCCAGATCATGCCCACCTGCTCAGCTACAAACATGCGGTGGGTATTGTCATTTGCATGCACCATGAGCACTGGGTTCCTCAGGCCATTGGCAACCTCCATCAGACAGAGCTGGAGACAGCCTTTGCGGTCCTCCACCACCGAGCCCAGGTTGCGGTTGAGGGCTGTGTTCTTCAGCACATTGGGGAAGCAGTAGTCCTCATCATGTAGGTGAAGGAGGTTGCAAAAGCGAGTCTTGTTTGTCTCGCAGCACTCTTGGATGTGCTTATCACTCGTCAGCAGGCTGATGGCAGAGCGGCAGTTGAAGTGAAACTCAGAGCAGTAGTCAAAACAAAGTCCTGGGAGGCTTCTTAGAGGTGTACGAGGATTTTCTGCATCGTAGAGATGTGCAGCGTATGGAGAACATTCCTAGAAAGTAAAAGAAACTAAGTATGCGGCTGTGTACGCACATCCAGGAGAAGCCAAGACACCTTCACAGAAGCAAACCAGTTAATAAGAAAAATTAGTAAGGCAGAGAACATGAGTAATCTTTGAAGTAGAGTAGTAGAAAGTCACTCAGAACACTGCTAAAGGCAATTTAGAGGTCAGTAGTTTCCTTTACCAAAGCAATCAGCTGCACCTAAGTTATTCCCAACAGAAGTGTATCTATGAAGGCTGTGGATTCTCCATTACTAGAGGTTTTTAAGGAAGTGATGGGCAATTTCTTTTTGCAATCTCTTCTTACCTTTGCTTTTAGAAATATCCCTTAGCTTCCTTGGATGGCTTTTTGAACGAAGTACTTTGTAACCTGTTCTTAACAGCTTGAGAGAAGAATTTGTTAACTCCCTCAACTGCAGGAACCCTTTAGTACTATGGAGAATGCTAACCTTTGTACTTCAGACTTCTCCAGACCTGCAGTCCCAAATCTGGACAGGACACATCTTTCACATCAGCCAGCATCACTGCCTTTTCCAGGTACATTTAAAGATTTCACTTTGTTAAGCCACTTAAGCCCATACCTAGGTCTAATCAAGCATTAGGAAAGAGAGAAAACAGAACAGGCACAGGTTCACCCATGCCTTCAACACTGCATACAGCAACATAGAGGAACAAATCCACAAGGACAGTCAAAGATACAGAACAGCTAATTAAGATGGGAATGAGCAGTTTTGCAGAGGGGTGATCAGAATGGGGTAACAGCCTGACAGATATCTGTAAATAACCTGTAAATATCACAGGTGACATTGAGAAGATGCATGGAGATCAGTTGTACCACCTTTCCGCCAGAAAAAAAAAAAAAATGAGGGAGCATTAGATAAAGCTAGCAGGAGCATGGTTAAAAAAATAAAGGTGAAACTGCCAGGAGAAATTGTAGGTGCTAAAGATGTACATCAGTTAAATGTACAGGCTAAGTTAATCTTTGGTCCAATGCTGTACAACTTCAATCATGTTCTTACATGCATATCACTGAAGCAGACTGTAGTTGATATTTAAAACTGTTTCAAATAAGTAAACAGAGTCAATGGTAGCTACATGAATTGAATAAGATTACACGTGATCTTCAGGGAAAAGAATACTGCCTGCAACATTTTCAAGTGTTATGCATCCAAAAATGATGTCACTTACTGGAAATCAGACATTATTTAACTGATATTTTGTACAGCTAAAAAACTTCAAATATCATTGTGTTTGAATTTGTACCTGAATTTAAATTCCTCATCTTGCAAAAATTCTGGGCCAGAACTTCTATAAAGTATTTCCATTAAAATCCCACCTCTGTTTTAATAAGAGCACAAAATTGCAGAAATTAAAACAGAAGGAGCCAAATTCTGCAGAAAGATTATTTTATTGATTTTCACGCCAGCAGCCTGAAACAGTCTATCCACAGTTTTTATTGGGCATATATGTAGGAAGGTAAGTACACAGACATTCGAAGAATGAGGAACTACTACGTTAGTATTTTTTCTGCCTTATTAAACAAGTCTGCTTCACTAAAGAAAAATCATTAAACAAATCTGGCGCAGTTATACAACCGCTGACTTCTTTGTTGCAAGTAGCAGCCTTTCCAGGATATTTAATGTGAAGACTACAGACCCTCATTCCAAACTCAGCACAGCAAACTGTTTCCTTTGCTCACAGAAGAGCCTGAGGGCTCTTGGCCATGCTAAGAACAGATACAACTTGTAAGTAGCAAAGCCCTTTCAACTCTTAGATAGTGTAGTAAATTTCTCACTTTTCATTGCTGCTGGTTGATTATAAAGCTGCACAGAACAAGTTGGCTTCTCTTGCTTTCACGTCGTAAAAGGAACCTCTCCTCCACTCCCCAGATCAGAAGTCCCCAGCCCAAAAAGGGGAACCAAGTGCCCCAGGCCTGTCCTTGCAGCCTCAGCCCAGCCCCAGATGGCAGAACCGCACCATTTTTCCCATGTTTAAGGTCTTCCTGGAACAAGGAAGAGCACCATTAGTCCCCGAGTGCCATCTCCAAAAGCGAAAGCTTCAGTTAAGTGCCTTTCTGTTCTCGCCTTCTTGAAGGAGAGCAGCTTTGGTGCTGGCGTTCAATAACACT